TAACTTCTGTAATATACCTTTCATTTCACCCTTATAGGAATAATACATTTCTTCAAATTTATCGAAGAAATCGTTCGCAAAATATGTTAAGCGTTTTCGTTCTTCTTATGTGATCGAGGTAATTAGTTTTTCATGGCCACATTTAAACTCATTCCAATATTTTTCTAAGGTCTATATGTCTATTCTAATTTCTCTATGTGCCGTAGTAGTCGTTCTTTAAGCGACTTCTTTAAATTCGTGTACACCCTTTCAAATTTCTTCTCGAAGAAATCCCTTTAACGCAATTATTTTTTCGATTTGTTCCATTTTCAAACAAAATACATAATATAATGTCCAAATTGATTCTAATTCGAGTTTTCAATACCGTTTTTCGTTGAAATTGCACCTTTTTACTTTTCACCACGTTGTCCGTATAAGGGAAGGTCAGTCCAAGGCCAAGTACATCACTTACGTCGATTGTAAAATGTTCTAGTTCAAATGATCGCGGGACGGTGGTCTGCGTCAGATGAAGCTTTAATAGTCTCGGGACTGAAAACAAAAACATCAGTTAATACAATAGGGTCGATGGATCATATTATGTAGGGATAAGGTTTAATTTTCAGTGTCTTGCGAAGTAAAAGAAACTAATGTGTTAACTTCAGGGTTGTTTATTTGCGACTGATTTCTTATATTAGTTATGAGAGAGAGAGAATTAACATTTGACAAGCAATGTCCACAGTTTATTAATAATGTACAATGCGTTGCCGGCGGGTTTACTTATGAATAAAAAAATATTATATTTAACCAGAACGTTGCGTAAAAATGTATCCGAAAATATTGATATTTTTTTTTTAATTTTTTATTAAAGACGGTTTTTACACACGCGAATTACGAAAGCTGCGGTCGGAGGTTGCAAAAAAGTGCAAAGTTAAACTTAAAACTACTTATCCGATTCAATGCGGATGGCTCCGCAGAGGCGCCATGTGTATCTTTTGTGTATGGCGGGTGGCGCCCGAGAGGAGCCAAAATGTTTTCCTGTAAAACTCCGCTAAAAAAGCTTTATTCAGAGGCTAGCCCTAAATGAAAGTTTCCTTATTTGTCACGTAGATTACGATACTAGTATTAGTTTCAAGATATAGCGTGAAAAAAGACATTTCAGATGTTGTAAACCTTTTCAATAGAAACAATAATTATGAAAGGTAACTTTTGTGCATGGCGGGTGGCACCCCAGAGGAGCCAATATTTGAAACCAAAAAACTGACTAATTTAAATTTATCAATAGTACATATTTCAGTGTTCTAAAAATATTAGTGTCTTTATTTATCACGTAGATCCTTTCCAGAGAAATCGCTTTAAGGTGTAGCGTGATTTCACACTCTTCGGGGATGGTAAACCATTTTAAGCGTTATTTAAATGTTATTTAATATTAAGGGTTACAAACGAATAGCACTACTAATCATGACAGTTAAATATTTAAAAAATATCTGTTTTCACTTTTTTTGCTTTGTGGATATGCTCTTTTGCAAGTTTATGGTAATAACTAGGTAGTTTCTCGAAGTATGTCCAAATTTAACCGGACTAGTAATTGCATTCCTTAGGTATCAAGACAATGTACTTAGTTTATTTTTGGTGAGAAACAACAACAAAAAAACGATTCTCAGAAAAGCACTATCTTTTGTTGTTATGCTATGCAGTCATATCAAAGATGTTTTAAAGATTTTTAAGCTTTTTATTGCCCTACTGCTTATTGTTAATATGCCGTGCCGACCGACCCTTTTTATTGATGGGCTAGGGAAAGATGTTATTTAACTAAAAACAAAAGAAGTCGGTGCCATAAATCACTTAACAAGGTTTCTCACGCGCAAATTACTTAACTATCGATGATGTTTTTTCGTTTACTTCTGTTTTGCTATTTATGGTGATCAGACGTAAGCACGTTGTGACCGTTTAATGCTCGCTTCTGAAGTCTCTTAGTTTGCCTTTTAACAACTGTGGACTGTGTATCTGGACTTCGAGATTTTGCTTCAGTGACTACCCCGGCTAGTAATTTGGACTCTGTTTTGATTCTTGACTTTACAAGGTGAGTTTTTTTTAACAATGTTCTTTTTTTCTTTTCTAGTCTTTTCAATCATTGAAATTTAACATGAGCTTTTTGAAATTTAACATGAGGGACAGAGTGATTCCATGTTAGAGGAAAACCTAGATAGGGCATGTAGCACAGGTCTCGTGCTACAACTTTTGTAGGAACACTCATATGCCAAAATAAATCAGTCTTGAGTTATTGAACATTTTATGGTTTTTGGAAAAAATCCCATTTCGTGACCAGTGTTCAGAACTAAAAAAAATACAAAATTTTCTAAATTGTTCGTTTATTATTCTGTCTTTAACTACACAATGTTAAGTAAGAGGTAAAACACTTAAAATTCTACGTTAAGCGGAAAGATAGGTACCCTATGTAAGGTGTTCTCTTGAAACAAATGAACAGACAAACACCCCCAGACTCATACATAGACACACAAACACCACATACATACACACACATAAGCGCTTAAATACATAACATTCGACGAAACAGATAAACACTTACACTCATACACACTCACATGTACAAACACTGTGTGAGTGTGTATGTGTGTGTGCTTGTGTATGACAGTGAATGTGAGAATGTATATCTGTGTGAGAGAGTGTGTGTGTGTTTGTGTGTGTGTTCGTCTGTGTTTACAACACCTTTATAACGTATAAAATAAAGTGTGTTGACTGCTAGATAACTTATTCTACTATTTTTTTCAGTTGCTAACCAAAATGGCTACTCCTCCATCCCCTGAACCTGGCCCGTCAAATTGGGATCTCATATCTATGGAGTTATCCGGAATGATGTCTCCCAGCCATATAAACTTATCAGACATGCCATGCATTGATGCTATTATAAGTGATGCAGAATTGTATGGGATTTTGGCACAGGATGTGGATAACTTTCTGGAAGATTTGGTAAATGAAAACACAGAAGATGAAGAAGCCGTTTGTGCTGAAGATCAGTTAGAACAGGACGTTGAAAATACAACTGAGGAAGCCCCTACTACCGATTGGTTCAATGGAAACCCCTCGAATATGGCCGAGATTCCTTTTACGGGCACACCTGGTTTATTACCGCCTCATAACATGAGTTGGAAAAACACCGATAGATTTTTTCTTTTTATTTTTCAATAGTCGTATCATTGATTTAATTTTAAACTGTACAAACAAGTGCGGCAATGAATTGAAGATTGCAGCACGCACCGCACAAGCTCGTTTTACAAAATGGAAGGAGATAAGTCTTGAGGAGTTCACGGTATTTATTGGCATAATTTTATTTATGGGTACCGTGAAAGTTAATAGAATGGCCGAATATTGGTCTCGACATTATTTAATGCGCCTAAGCCCACATTCATTTATGGCTAGGGACAGGTTTTATTAATATTAAGAGCATTAAATGTCCAAGATGAAATGAGGCCGGAAAGTATTTTTAAAGTAAAGTCGTTAATAGATATGTTCAACGAAACAATGTCCACAACTTATTACCCATCCAATAATGTTGCAATAGATGAATCCTTGATTTTGTGGAAAGGACGTCTTTCTTTCCGCCAGTATTTAAAAGGGAAAGTCCATCGTTATGGAATTAAATTATATATGTTAGCTGACATGAATGGCCTAGTAATAAAAATTCATTTATATGCTGGTTCTGGGGATCAATTGGTAGGTGGAAAAAATCATGTAAAAAAAGTAGTAATGTTGTTAATAGAAAAATATTTAAATAAAGGCCATTCACTTTATATTGATAATTATTATAGCAGCGTTGGTTTAGCAGAGGAGCTTTTAGATAAAAACACGTACGTAACAGGTACACTACGAGCAAAGCGCGCTGGTAATCCCACTTTAATTAATATAAAATTAAACACCGGTGAATCTTGTATTGTTCACAATTCCAAAAAAATTGTTGTTACCAAATGGCAGGATAAACGCGAAGTGCTGCTTTTGAGCTCGCAGCATAAAAGCATTTACAAAGGGACTAATAGTCGCCGAATACGCACTATAAAGTATAAGCCTGATGTACTAATTCAGTACAATAAATACATGAGAGCAATTGATAGGCACGACCAGCTTTTAAGTTATTATTCCTGCAAACACAAAACCTTACGTTGGTATAAAAAAGTTATAATCCATTTAATCCAAATATGTTTGGTGAATAGCTTTCTTTTATATCGAGAAATAAGCAAATCGAATATAGAATTATATGATTTTAGAAAAAGTGTATTAGAAAATTTATTAAAGCCACCAACCGTGCCACAACGATCCCTTGTTGAAAGAAAAATACATTTACCTAGTACTTTTACTAAGAGTGGTGGAAGGACAATGAGAAAGCGATGCAGAGTATGCTATAGCAAAACTAAAAAAAGAAACTTGGTTATGTATGGTTGTTCTGATTGCCCAGAATTCCCAGGGTTATGTCTCACCCCATGCTTCCGAGAATATCATAAATATTAACAAATGTATTAGAAATTTTTAATATTTATGATATTTTTAGCTTGCAGGTATTTCATGATTTCAATTAATACACACACTATATGTTATAATTTGTTTAATTGAAGATTTTTAAATACTTATAACAAACAATTCTCATTAGTAATTACTAAATCAGTCTTTTTAATGATTATAGTAAAAATCTACCTTATAAATAAGTACAATTATGTAATATTATTGCACAATGTTAATAAATAAACCTTAATATTATGTAAAACCGATGCTTTTCATTTAACTCGCCTCTCTCTCTTCATCTAAAACTCTTTTCATTTAAAACTTATGGTTTATTAATAAAATTATTTTTTTTTAGCGTTTCTATAATTTTTTGCATTATAATATATCTCTCATTAATACTAAAACGTAGTAACTCGTTAGATACGAATTTCCCAAAATATTTACAGGCGTGAATATCCACGACGGTTGTACTCGTAAATTGTTCTTTATCTTCTACCATTATATTTTCAGTAAACGTTGAAATATCTTTGGTGGATATTTCTGTGTACGTTGCACAATCTTTCGTAGGTTTTTTTTGTACCTTCCGCCGCAGAATTTATTTCATCTTCATTTTCTTGACCAGGTTCCCAGTCATCATAAGTCTGGGAATTTTGTTCTAAATAAGCCTGTTCGACAAACTCGTAGTCAGTGTCACATTGCGTTTCCAGTTGTGATTCTGGGATATATTTTCTTTTTTTTGGTAATTCTAGAACAAAAAAGAATATATGTTTATATCAAGCAAAAAAAAAAACTTGCTGTGAGCATTACGACGAATTTTTCTGTAACTACTTTTTGTTTAAAATAAAAAGTGCGTAAACTGAATTGTAAATCTTTTAAATTTATGTAAATAAATGTAATTAAATAAAAAATCTATCATGAATTTAAATTTTGTCGACAGACTAGAAAAGAAATAAGTATAGTTTTATAAATTCAATGAAAACTACAAAAAGGTTTACAACACCTTACATAAATGAGTCACTTACCTTCCATTTCCATTAATACACGTAGATAATCACTTTTTTATACACTAAACGAACAATAAAACCGCTTACGTTCGATTTTGGTTGGCGACTAAACTTACAGCAAGTGGAAACAACAAAAAAAGCGATACATTACAATACATGGCGGAAGGCGCCTTAGGGGAGCCATCAAAGTGCCTGGCGTTGGGCGCCCCAGAGGAGCCACGAAACATTTGTTCGTAGCCAGGCATGAAAGTTTGTCAAATAGTCCACCGCATTGAATCGGTTATTTTATTACATTAAAATTACAAGTTAACTACATTTATAAGTGAGGTGACAATTGCTCGATGTGAGAGACAAAAGTGACGCTCGCTGCGATGCTTCGGACGGTCCCGGTGTCCAACACCTGTGTTGCGCAACCACTTGGTATCCTTGTAATCCGTCGATTACCGGCGACGGCACGTAGCACGGAATAAGCGATCCCTTGAGAATGGAATGTTGTAATTGGGTGATTGCAGTGTAGGCGATTTCCGGGTTGTATAATGGTGTAACACGCGGGTAAATATCACCCTCGAAATATTTATATTTATAAAAATATCAATTGCTTTATACATAAATACGAGTTCATTGCGAATTTTTGGGGACTTGAGGAAGTTTCTTACACATCAAATAAATTATTGTCTAGGGAGGAACAATTTTACGGGTCGCATTTCACTGAAAATGTTAGGCGCCTACCTAATGGGAGATTTTCAGTGAAAAGGGCAATTACAGAACCGCCAGAAGAAAAACTTGGTGACTGTTATTTAATAGCAAAACGATGTTTTTTTTTATTTATTCATGTATTTATTTTTTTTATGTGAGGAATTGGCAAACGAGCTGGCGGTCCACCTAATATTAAGTGATAACCGCCGCCCATGAATAGTTGCAACACCCATAGGGTTGCAGATGCGTTACCACCTCTTAATAATGTGTGCCCCGGCTACCTCACTCACCTGACGAAACGTAGAAATGCAACACTTCTACTTTACGCCGGTCTTCTGTGAGGTACTGACCCGAACGGACCTGCCCATTCGTGCAACAGCGAACACTGTTGCGTGGTCCTACCATCGTTTGGAAAGTAAATTACAAAAAATTCCAAATATCAAAAACATGTTTGTCGATTTCAATTATGAATATGAATATTAAGCACACGAAATAGATTTATATGATCGTACTCAATAAGATATCTGTTTGCAATAGCAGTTAAAGAAAACTTATATATTGATCAAATATATCATCAAATAAATCGATAATCATCAAATTTTACATCAAAGATTATGCATATAGGTTCGTAAGGTACCACCGGTTCGGAAAGCAGTTTCTGTTGAGAAGAGACCGGCAAGAAACTCAACAGTTGCTCTTTTTAAAAATATCAGGGTACAATATAATATACAGGTATAATAGTCTTATTCTAGCCTACGTGAGTATCAACAACTCAACTCCACACATTGGCGTCGTCGAGATATTCCCAAATGGTATAATATGACTTAATCATTAGTTGATTTTAAATTTTACATTTAAATTGGTCAGCGGCAGACTTAATATCGACTGTGGGATTTTATTATACATGCGCACACTTTGCCCCATGAACGACCTATTTACTTTTTGTAGACGAAACAATGGCGTAGTAAGTTTGTCCTTATTCCTGGTGTTTATTTTATCTTTGGCACTATTCTTAGGTAATAATTAAGGTTATGACGTATATACAAAATATTACAATAAATGTATTGAGAAGCTACAGTGAGTATATTAACCTCTTTGAAAATATTTCTGAGCGAATTCCGGGCTCCGATATTGTGGATTGCTCGGACAGCTCTTTTTTGAAGAATAAATATAGAATTTATATCTGATGAAATACCCCACAACAAAATACCGTACGACAAGATGCTGTGAAAATAACTAAAGTAAACAAGTATGGCAGTGTCGATGTCTGTTAGCTGCATAACCCTTCTAATCGCAAAAACAGCGGAGCTCAGCCTATTCGCAAGAGATGAGATATATGGGGACTCCACTGGAGCTTTGAATGTACTGTAATACCCAGAAATACAACAGACTTAACGGCATTAATGGGTACGTTATTTAATATTAAACTAAAACTTTTCCTTCTTATACTGGGATACGATGTTTTATAGTAAATAAATTGAGTAGCTTCAATAACAAACCAGAAATACAACACTGGCTAGCAGTAAAAAGAGTACTGGCTACATGAAGGTAACAAAGGATTATAAATTAACATTAAGTCAAAATAAAGAAGAAAGAAGAGTGTTTCGTTACTGTGATTCAGACTGGGCTTCAGACATTAACAGCCGGAGATCATGCTCTGGCTACACTTTTCTGTTTCAGGGTGCTGCGGTCTCATGGTGTTCTAAACGTCAGAACACAGTTCTATTATCAAACATGGAGGCAGAATATATGGCACTGGCTACTGCCATACAGGAGGCTATGTGTCATTTAGAGTCAAAACTACATTACAGTTGCGCGTACCATAATTTGTTGTGATAATCAAATTTGCAGGTATTGACTCTTATTGTGCTCGCAGCAAACATATTGATATAAGATATCATTTTCTTCGAGAGAGAGTTGCCCAAAATGAAATTAAACTCTGCTAAGTTGGGACTCAAGATATGGTTGCCGACATTCTTTCAAAACCATTGTCGCAAAAGAAGATTGAAGACTGTTGCGTGGCTATGGGGGTGCAATAAAGGAGAGGATGTTGAAATAAATAATTGCAACACTGAATTTAATACATTTAAATTAATTCTATAAAAAAATGTGATATATTCTCTGAAGTGCTACTCTCTGTCTCTCACTTCTCGCTATTCATTAAAAAGGATTATTGTTCAGCATTGCGTATTTAATTTCTAACTATTTAGTTCTGGAATTAGTATAATCTAAAATACTTTCGTAAAATATCACTATAAAACTAAAGCAATTGAAAAAGGTGAGATTATACGTTTTAACAACAAACAAGATTGGTTATCAAGGGGTATGCTCAGAGAAAAAGAAGTGACTATGATGAGATATATGCTCCAGATGTGAGATATACTTCTGTTAGATTCTTTTTTTCACTGGCTGCTAAGTATGACTTGAAAATGTTTCAGATGGATGCTATAAGTGCTTTTCTTCAAGGTAACACAAATACACTGAAATATACATGTCACAACCAGTAAACTTAAAAAAAAATGATCAAATATCTATTTTACATAAATCAATATATGGACTCAAGTAAGCTAGCCGGCAGTGGAATCTAAAATTGAACAATATTTTATTAAAAATTGGATTACAGAGATCACAATTTTTTGATATTTACAAATAATAAGGACAAAGCAACAGAGATTAAAAATATACACACCGGTACAATTAGCGGAACACAAAAAAAGCAGGATTTTAAAATCTTTTACTTGAGGAACTGTCCAGTTATGATATTTTTTTAATTTATTGTCATATTTGAAAATAGAAAATTAGATGACATACACTTTTTTCATTTATTTGTTTTTTTTTCCCCGAACAATACGTTTTGTCAACTTGTTCGAGTAATAACTACGTAATTGTAATTTTTTTTGAAAAATTGCACTTAATGGTTCTTTATAAATTTGTTATTCTATAGGCAATTTTGTTTATTAAAAGCTCTTTATTATGCCTAACTTAACATCACTGGAAATCATTAGGGCTGATGAAATGAGAAGAAATGGCCATACCTACAGATCGATTGCCTCAAGGCTTCGTCGACCAGTATCAACGATTCATCGCAGCATCCAGCGGGACAGATCGTCTAATTCTCTTGTGAGGAGGAGGGGTCAAGGAAGAAAAAGATGTACATCGAGGCGAGATGACAGTTTTTTAAAACTTGGAGTTCGTAGGAATACGCAATGTACAAGCTCGAAATGAACTGGAAGACGTTCGAGGAGTACGAGTAAGTGAGCGTACAGTTCACAGGAGATTTGAAAAAGTTGGTTTAGGGTCGTATATACCTGCCAAAAGCCCAAAACTTGAGAGACGTCACCGCGTAAACCGATTAAGCTATGAGCGAGAACATCGTCATTGGGATTTGAACGAATGGCAGCAGGTTCTCTTTACTGATGAGTGCAGAGTTCTTTTAAAACAGATCGATGGAAGACAGCGAATATGGAGACGCAAAGGAGAACGCCACATACAGTCTAATTTTGAACACACAGTGGCTTATGGTGGCGGCTCGATTATGGTTTGGGGAGGGATATGTTTGGGAGCTCGCACGGAGTTAGTGATAGTCACAGGAGGGACCATGACAGCAGATCGATACATCAGAGACATTTTAGAAGAACATGTTGTACCATTTGCCCCATTTATTGGTGACGACTTTATTCTAATGCAAGATAATGCTCGTGCTCATAGTGCACAATCGGTTCAGGCATATCTGAGCCACGTAGCTATACCGGTGATGCAGTGGCCAGCAAATTCCCCGATATGAATCCGATAGAGCATGTCTGGGACTTGCTAAAAAGAAGGGTAAAATCCAGAATGCCACCCCCCAACAATCTGAATGAACGTGGAAACGCATTACTTGAGGAGTGGGAGCGGTTGCCTCAAGAAATCATCGATAACATAATCTGTAGCATGCCCAGACGAATGGAAACCGTAATCAGAGCAAGAGGGGGAAACACTCGTTATTAATTTTCCTTTAATTTTATTGTTAAATCATTTAATGCTTACTTTTTTTTATTTTTTGTGATGGTTCATAATCAAAAAATTTCACTTATTTCAAATTTCTTTATTTTTCAATAAAAAATAACGAAGACTTTTCAAAGTCGTTGTTAAAGGATGTTAATCAATTTGTTATTTTGTGTCTAATTACATTTTCATTTTCATATAGTGTCATTTCTCATAGTCTCACTTTTTTTTCTGTTCCGCTAATTGTGCCGGTGTGTATAAATTAAAAGGAGAATGCAGTATGAAAGATCTAGGCGAAATGAAGTACTGTATCGGTATTAACATAAATCGGAACCGAGAGACGTG